ACACATGCTGGAATTATGTGACAAATGTTCTGATGAAGTAGCATTTTGATGTGGTGTGTCACATAAGATGCATCTCTTAAACCACATGCAGGAATTAATTATATCAGAGATGTTCTGATGATATAAACAATGTTCTGATGACATAAACAGATGTTTTGATGTGTGGTATGTGTTTGACTCTGTCTCCAGCGCATGATCTCGGAGAAGAGATACCAGTACGTCTTAGACAGAGCCTGTTGTCAGTTCGAGCCAGACGATCCAGACTTCATCAGGGTGAGTGAGGCGTTGTTTTGATCCAAAAAGTTTATGTGATGTGTGCTGACAACATGAGTTACTTCTTGCAATCCACAAACGGAGATATTGGCCAAAAATTGACACTGGGGTCAACTTTGTACATTTCCTATTGATGCCATATTCTTTAACTATAACATGCCTTTTATTATTTCATGCTTATAAATTTTAAAAACTTCACCTATAAGTGTATTGTATTTATTTCCATGAGGTTTTGAATCCGAGAAGTAACTCATTTTGTCTGCCTGTTTCACATATTTTTATAAATGCTCTTTCGAGCCTCAGTGAAGGTAATCTGAAAAATGAGAGATTGCGTAGCTACCAACCAGTTTGTGAAAAACGTACTTAACTCATTTTTTAAGGTTCGAGTTGGAAGGTACGTTTTTGCGTCCGGGATTTACTTAGTCTCTGTTTTCTAGTATTGCTTCTCACGAACTTTCTGATGTTGAAGAAAAATTGTGAACCTTTCAAAGCAGGATTTGGGAATAATAATGAGAAGGAGGCCCGTAGGTCAATTTTAGAGACCTCTGCTAAACATTTCTGACGTTATTGTTGTCTAGACTTGTCTCTGTTATCATGATGCACGCTATCTAGGGTTGTTGCAAAAATTTCTCTCTGTCAAGTTGGCTGAAATGTCTGCGTGTTTTGACGATTGAAGTTGGGGTTTAGAGGGGAGGGACTGTGTGTTTGTACAAGGAAACTATTAAGCTAAAAGTCTGTTATATGAAGAAAGTGTGCATTTGAGAGGAGTGTGCCTGTGTATGGCGTGCATTGAGGAGGAGACTACAGCATTGTATAAGAAAAAATTCGGGACTTGAAAATTTGTTTGTTATGTTCGTGTTTGTAATGTACACGCTAGATATATATGTACAATGTAGTTTGGTTTTTTTCAGACCACTCACCGTGTGTACAATGCAGTAGATCAGTGTGGAGACTACGAGCATTTGAGGTCGACGCGCCACTTTGGCCCGCTGGCCTTTTACCTGGCGTGGCACTCGTCGATTGACGGCCTGCTGGTGGACATGCTCGACAGAGACAAGTATGTGGCCAGGCCCTCCAAGGGTTTGAGTGAACGAACCAGTCATAGTAACTGAGAGGAAGATATTTTAATCATTTTATAATGAGCACAAAGAGTTGGTCGTAAGAAACAGAGGGATCGAGTCAGAGTGATCAGATACTGTGGAACCAGTGATGCAGATTTTTCGGATAAGTAAAAAAAAAAAGCGAGTTTCAGTAATTGTTCGGATAAAAGTAAAAATTTGATAACCAATGTTCTTTTCCTGAAACTTCTGTGTTGTTGAAGGATTTTTCCTTTTTTTTGCTCCCATGGGTAGGGTCTGTTCTGCAGGGCTGCCCACCATTATGAATTTGGTGGAATTGTTACAATTTAAAATTTTTTTTGCAAAAATGCGATCGTAATACACCTGATTCCAATATTAAAAAAAAAAAATATTGGGCTACTACAACCCAATGCCATTCGTCTTTGTGTAAACCTAAGCCATTTCACCATTTTACCTCCAGGGAAGAAGACTATCCATGGCCATATTAACTCTTTAAACCCCATCGGATGCTGGGAGCGTCTGATACTAGTGACAACTGTTTCGTTTAATTTAGTGATAGTTTCTTCTTGTTTTTCGGAACCCAGATCCAAGTTTTAAAGTAATGACTAAGCCTTTGTTTCTGCAATTTAGAAGTTGGAGGCAAGCTTCTGGGGTTTTAATGAGACATAGCGCACCAGACTTAGGTGGCCGTAGAAAAAACTCAGGGTTTAAAGAGTTAAGACTTTTATAGTCAGATTACTAGGTTTTTAATTTGTTGATTACTAAAACATACGCTGGAAGGTGGGCAGTCCTGGGTCTGTGTCCTGTGATGGAGTCATGAAGACTGGAGCACTCACTCTGTTGTGTGTGTGTGTGTGAAGAAGCTATGATGGACAATCACTGAGAAAGAGGAATTCAACATACCAGCAGAAAGACGGACACTCGATTTAAAATCCCCCCCCACTCAGGAATCAAACTTGAGTCTCCTAGTCCTACCTACGTGCCTAACAACGAAGAGCCTAACCGCTACACCACAGACGTTGGAAACAACTATGGTGGAGTCTGCATGAACTGAACACAGTTAACAGGGGGGTCCTCATTATGACGGAGCCCTCTTTTGGTACGATCAATTTAAAAATGACATACATACTTCACTGAATTGGTAATTAAATCAGCAATTGTCAAAACAGGTCTATTTTATCGGGAATTCTTTAATAAGATGAAGAACTATCGAAATGGGTTCATTTGCTTTGATTTAATTGATATAGCTTGCAAAGAATATAGAGAGCCTTCTGTTGAGTGGGAATTTGTGCTCTATAAACAAATGTTACCTCCGTTATTATCTGTTGTTATAATTGTTTAATTTATTGACTCACCTCTCAGGGCTCAGGATGCCAGAGACGTGGTGGTCCTGTTTGCCGACGTGCACCCAAACAGCTCATGCGCAGCCGCCATCTCGGAACTACCTCAGCAAGACGATGATGTCGCAGTCATAAAGGTGAGTTGTTTGACCTCTGATAGTGCTCACAGATTAGTACAGTAACTCAACTCTTTCATCTGATCACTTCTGGAATTCTAGCAAATTAAACAGCTGTTCCTGGCTAAACACAGGGATGCCGTTTCTCCTTTATTTTAGTTGTTTTTTCCTTCTTTTTTTTAATCGTTTTTTTGGGCATCGCCCGTTAGGAAGTTTGTTTTATTGTTGAACTTTTCTGTCAAACATCTGTTGTCCTTATCTCTCCTCCTTTTCATTGTTTGTTACTCTCTTTTCTTCAGTCCTTTTATATTATATGACTTGTTTGTGTTGCATGCGCTGTAATCCCCTGACAAAGATTGAAACTTTAATTCTCTGCCTTTGGCTTTTTTTCCCTTTGACTCACTTCACAAAGTGTTTTCCTTTTTTTTGTTTTGACTGTTTGTACTACTACTTTCTGTCGGCTCCTCTTTCTTTTATCTTTTATTGCAAGGATTTGTCTTTTCTTGATCTGTGGGTAGTTGGTGGGTGCTCTGCTCCTTCTTTCCTAAAAAAAAATCTATTGTCTCTATCTCCCTTCCTTCTTTTTTGTGTTTGTTACTCTCTTGTAACACCTCTAATCTTCGGCACTTGTATGACCTTATTGTGTTGCAAGTGCTGTAAAACTCTTACTAAAACAATGACTATCGCTTAAACTTTTATTCTCTGCCTTTGGCATTTTTTCCTTTGTCTCACTTCACAAAGTGTTTTCTTTTTTTGTTTTGACTGTTTGTACTACTACTTTCTGTCGCCTTCTCTTTCTTATATATTTTATTGCAAGGATTTGTCTTTTCTTGATCTACTCACCCTTTCTTTCCATCCCCAGACATATTTATCCACTGACTGCAAGAACAAGGACAAAGTAGAACTCTCGCTACGGGCCATGGTCGACTCACAGAGGTCAAAGGGGAAGACACAGAACTCTTCCCTGTGATGAATGAATGAATGGATGAGGATGATGATGTGTTGGATTCGAATGGTGTGATTTGTGGAGAGGATCAAACTTGCAAAGGAATTCGGAATTTAAATATTAAATATGAATGTCCAGTGTTATTGCATGATGTTTTCTATGATTTGTTTTTAGCTTGAAAGTAATAAATGAACATGAACTTCTGAATATCTGGGTGTTTTTTTTTTTAAAGTTTAGTGCCCGTTGCAATAATGTAAAGTTATTTTAGAGGTGGGACCAGCGAGTTTAAAGTCTGTCTCTGAAAGGATTCAGCCAAATGGGAAAATTCGTGTAAATTGCCTTTCCTAAGGACACAATTTCAGACCCAGCACTTTCGGTTTGATCAATGTGTTCATTGGTTAGATCAGCACTAACAGATGATTTGGAACCACTGAGCACAAAGTCAAAAGTGAATGTATTGGTTTTAACTTTAACTCTAAAATAGTTAAATTTCTGTTGAGGATTCATTCCCTGACTGAACTTAACAGGGGAAGCACATTACTTGGATACCTAGCCGTGTAGACATCCAAGGAAACAGTCGATCTTCTGGCGGAAGAATCCTTATCCCTCCTGTTGGGGTCGTTGAAGATCACCCTCACACAGATGATATTTATATAATAAAGAAGGTCAAAAGTTATATCTCCAGTTTGTGGGAGGAACAACAGAGCAAATAAAAGAATAATAAAATGCGCAATTTAACTCTATCCGTACGCCCTGATGTCATTTTGTACCCCCGGGGTTGTATTCTTCATGTTTTAGAATACTTCTAGTACGAAGATCTCTTTGAAACTTTCAGTATTTCTCAAAAAATCATTTTGACAGACTGCTATGCAAAGCGTACTGATCGGATTAACGAGTAAATTTTCTCTTTGGAAAGTGGTGGCACAGAGTTCCCCACGTCGTATGGATACAATAGTAAAACACGACGTACGGATAGGGGTAACACTTTGTAGTCACCCACCCGGCTGTACAAAATACCCCATTTGGTCACCCAGCCAGGAGAGCCTCTTCTACAGACTTTTCGGGCCCGGCACAGAACTGCGCCAGGTGACCGGAATGGACAATTGTCACTGGCGCATTTTTGTGCCTAGTGACGGCAAAATGTTAACTAAATGATATAAATCGTGTCAATGAGGGCTTAGATACACCTACCACCTAAGCCAGGAAAAAACAAAGCTGGGAGTGTTCTTTGGCGTACACTATACCATAATTTGTTCACTTTCATCTGACTGCATTAAAATCCGGTGGTTTCTTTATTGGGCCCTATATTAAAGTTAAACCGCATACCCAAGATTTGAAGTTGTACTGTCTTCTACTTCCACAGAGAGGGAGGTTGGAGGGCGCCACTGGTAGGT